CCACTGTAATCACAGAACCATAGAGTTGGATGGGCCATCTTCTCCAACCATGTGCCAGTTGAGGAAGCCAGGACTATTTGGCGTCACTAACTGCTTCAGGAGTGGTGGTCTCTTGGACTTCCCGAGGTCCCAATCAACTGCCACCCTTCCTTACTACTGGCCATGCTGAGTGCCGCAGAACGGAGGCTTAGACCAATGTATCTGGAGAACCATAAATTTCCCACCTGTAATCAACTTGGAAAACCAAACCTGCAGAACATTTCCTAAAGTCTCTTGTGGTTGTGTGATACATAAAACTTCATTTCATAAAAATGTGTTGTTGACCATCTGTTCTAATAACAGCGTTAACAAGCAATATATGAAGCCGCTATACGCAGACATTTCACTTATATACTCAGCTGGCAGCAAATCCAGAATGTCTCAGGGTTCTCACCTAATTTTGTGCCGAGATCTTTGTAACTGGCAGTTATTTATTTATTGGACTTATATACCGCCCCATAGCGCTACAGGCACTCTCCGGGCGGTTTACAATTTTTTTTAATTATACAGGCTACACATTGCGACCCCCAGCAAGCTGGGTACTCATTTTACCGACCTCGGAAGGATGGAAGGCTGAGTCAACCTTGAGCCGGCTACCTGGGATTTGAACCCCAGGTCGTGAGCACAGTTTTAGCTGTAGTGAGATCTTTGTAACTGGCAGTTAATGACTCTGTCATGGGTTTCTCAGAATGCAGTATCAGGATGAATGCTACAACGCCAATTGGCTCTAGGCGGCACAGCTAATGCTTCAGGATGATGCGAGGTGAGGCCTGACAACTTCTAAAGAGTCACAGGGAGCCCACCCTCGCTCCAGTACAGAGGTGTCCAAAGTGCAGCCTGCCAACTGCACGAAACTCCAAGCCCTTTTCTGCAGCTCCTCAGTGTTACCTAAGATGTTTCAGGGCTCCCGAAAAGTATACGTTCAAAGAAAAGGTCACTGTTTGCCCCCAAACTGCTATATCTAAATAGGAACCTCAGGAAAGCTAATTGCAAACCTTTTTTGTCAGTTTTAATTGGAAGAGAAACCTTCAATTAACCTCCTCCACCTTTTCCCATGGTGTTTCCACAGCATTTCTGTTCCTTAAATCATGATAATTCATTGTAGACGATGAAACCTTAGGGAATATTAACCTCTTAAGAATCAGACTGCCTTATTAAAGTAACTGTGAATAAATATTTCAATAAAGATAGAAACTACCGAATGAAACAGAAAAAGAGTGAAACTCAAAACTTTGTCTGAAGGACTATATTTCGCAGACTAAAAAGTAATTTTTGGAGGAGGGAGCTAAAGTTTGAAATTTTAAAATATTTTCACAGTCCAAGATTCTGTTAAAAAAAACAACCCAGATGAAAGGAAATCAGCTGATTTGCATGTTGGCCAGACTCCTTTCTGCTTCAGTCATGCCATGCTGGGAATGCAGCAGCTGAGCTACCAGCCGGTCTGAATGGCCCTCAGCACCAAAAAGGCTATCTATCCATCTCTCCTCTTGTATTTTACAGGTAAGGGAAGAGAGAATGCTGCCATGTATCATACCAGGAATTTATGGATAGATTTACAAGAGCACAATTCCAACACTAACTGTTGAGCTCACTAGATGTTTTCAGCTCATCGAGATAAGTTACCCTTCGTTTCGATCTGTCCGGCAGAATCTTCTTTCTCCCACCACTAGCAGCCCTGCTTATACTAACCAAACAGGGGAGATTCACTTGCTAAAAGGCTACAACTGTGACACAGTGGGTTTGAGGTCAAACAGAAATGGTTAAAAAAATTACATGGATGCCCACCTCACTGAACTCAATGGAATTGACTTTTCAGTAAACAAACAGTACTTATACTCAGCAGTTTGCAGTAAATATCTTACTGGCAGAAAGCACCAATGACTTGAAACAACTGTTAGGGAAAGTGAAATAATTGCCAAAGCAGGACTGCAGTTGAACATTAAGACAACCAAAGCCACGATTACAGAAGAACTATACAACTTTAACATTTGACAAGAAAGAAATTGAAATAGTCAGAGATTTTGTATACCTTTGTTCAATAATCAATTCAAAGGGAGAATGTAGCCAAGGAAACAGAAAAAGAGTGAAACTCAAAAGGACAAGAATGAAAAAACTATAAAAGATCATCAGGTTTAGGGATGTGTCACTGGAGACCAAGACCATCCACATTATCGTACAGAATCTCTAATCATAGGTATAAAAGCTGGATAGTGGGGGAGATCATTTGTTTGAAATGTTGAGCTGGAGGAAATCTTTGCAGATACCTAGACTGCCAGAAACACAAACAAGTGGGTCCTCGATCAAATGAGCCTGAACTAACTCTGGAGGGGGGAAAAATGAAACTGAGGTTGTCCTACATCAAGAGAAGAGGGAAAAAATTAAACTGAGGTTGTCCTACATCAAGAGAAGACAAGGATGCTCTGGAAAAGAAAATAATGCTGGGGAAAGTGGGAGGCAGCTGGAAAACCCGACAGAAGACAGACCGACTTCCCAAAGGAAGCAACAGACTTGAGTTTGCAAAAGCTGAGCTGTTGAAGTCAGGAGATTTTGGAAGCTGAAGACAACTTGATGGCACGTAACAACAAAACAAATACGATAGGGACCCAAGGAATGCAGCAAGTTCAGTTTCTGTGACTTAAGGTCAAACTAAACATTACATGGACAGATGTATGGGATATATAGAGACATAATTACATTCACTCTGCTAGCTCTCTGAAGTGAAAAGCATCCTCGGGCAGCTGCAAGTGAAAGCAGGATAGCAATCAAGGGGAAAACGAAAAAGCATTTAATTCTATCTCCTCAAGCTTCTTTTCTACTCAGGAAAAAAAAACATGTCCTCCACACTTCTCTCAGTTTTAAGTATGGGTATATAACTAATTCATGCGAAAGGCCAGACTGGAGGAATCCCAAACTGGAATTAAGATTGCTGGAAGAAATATCAACAACCTCAGATAATAAGGGTGAAAGAGGAGAGTGCAAAAAACGGTCTGAAGCTCAACATAAAAAAAACCCTAAGATCATGGCCACTGGTCCCATCACCTCCTGGCAAATAGAAGGGGAAGAGATGGATGCAGTAACAGATTTCACTTTCTTGGGGTCCATGATCACCGCCGATGGAGACAGGAGCCACGAAATTAAAAGACGCCTGCTTCTTGGGAGGAAAGAGATGACAAACCTAGACAGCATCTTAAAAAGCAGAGACATCACCTTGCCGACAAAAGTCCGGATAGTCAAAGCTATGGTTTTTCCTGTAGTGATGTACGGAAATGAGAGCTGGACCATAAAGAAAGCTGACCGCCGAAGAATTGATGCTTTTGAATTGTGGTGCTGGAGGAGCCTCTTGAGAGTCCCCTGGACTGCAAGGAGAACAAACTTATCCATTCTAAAGGAAATCAAGCCTGAGTGCTCACTGGAAGGACAGATCCTGAAGCTGAGGCTCCAATACTTTGGCCATCTCATGAGAACAGAAGACTCCCTGAAAAAGACCCTGATGTTAGGAAAGTGTGAAGTCAGGAGGAGAAGGGGAAAACAGAGGACAAGATGGTTGGACAGTGTCATCAAAGCAACCAACATGAATTTGACCCAACTCCGGGAGGCAGTGGAAGACAGGAAGGCCTGGCGTGCTCTGGTCCAAGAGGTCACGAAGAGTTCCACATGACTAAACAACAAAATATAACTAATGACAAATTAACGCAGCAGTGATAGTATAGACCAAAGGAAAACAATTCTTTTCATGTATGACTAAAGCTGGTCTTCAATATATATGCAAAGTTTGTTTACCAACCTTAGTAGCCTGCATAATTCCATCCAATTTAATATTAGAGACGGTAATGAATGTTTCTGAGTAATCATATATACAGTAGTTTAGTACAACATTACAGTTTATCCATCTGCTGTAGAAAAAGGGAGAGTAGCCTTTACAACCGAAGGCATAAAGCTGAATTGTAGTGAGTCAGAGCAATAGAGCCTTTACTCAGTTTTCCTCTTTTGGAAACAGGGAACCTGTGATCCTCCAGTGGGTCACAAAGTACAACTATCATAATCCCTCTCCTATAGCCAAGGTTGCTGGGGATGATGGAAACTGTAGTCTAGAAACACCTGAATGCACCAATTGGGGTGCATTCCAGCCAGAAACAACTCCCTAGGGTCTCCCGTCTCCTCTTAAGTTACCAAAATAATCTTCTAGCTAGCGGCTTAGGTCTCTAGCTGCGGAGCCGGAGGTTGGGAGTTTGATTTTGCACTCTGTCTCTTTCAGAGGGGCTGGACTCAATGATCCATAGGGTTTCTTGTTGTTGTTATTAAAGGTGAAGTGCCTGGTTCACCTCTGAGCCTGCAATGCCCTTGGAAAGTCTCTTCTCCAGGGTGCATGCATCACTCCGACTTTCCAGCTCCCCTTCTGTTTTTTTTTGGTTTTTTTTTAGGCATCCTTCAGTCTCGAGAGACTATGGTAACATGCTCTGAATAGAAGTCTTGCAACAGCATCTACTGTGGCTGAGAAGGCCAATTCGAGAGTGACCATCCCTTCCACGCTGAAGACAGATACAATCTGTCCCCTGTCCAGCTCCCTGGTTTTGCTGGTTTCGGGACTGACTCTTGGCTTCCGCCAATTCCGGGTTTTATATTGTTTCCTTTCGCTACTTTAAACCGCCTTTGGTTCTCTTGAGGAGAAGGGCGAGGTTAGCAATATTTTAAATTAATAATTTCATCACTGACTAGTTATGCCTCTGCTAGATCTACAAACAATTGTAGCCTCAAGCACCGATTTAACCTCATTCATGCCTGATCAACACAATCCGGTTAAACCTCAGGATCAGGGACCCCAAGAACGCTATTTGATTGGAAACTCCGCACAACGCATGCGCACCGCAGCCCGTATACCCAAGACGCATGCGCACAAGAGCGCACGTATTTAGGTTACCATAGCAACGCGGGAAACACTACCGGCCTTCACTTTTACTCACCGCTTCCTTGGCCTGATAGGTAGCTTTCAGCTTTTGATAAGTGAGCTCCATTTCTATAGTCTCGGTTTTGTTTTTTTGTTTTTGTTTTTTTAAAAAAGAGATAAGTCAATTTAGCTTTCCTTCTATACTTTACGGGACGCAGCAGCAGCCTCACGCGACCTCAAGGAGGCTTCCCTCGGTAGACAACGCTGACCAATCAATAGCTTGGATTAGACGCGGCTTAACCAATGAAAGGAGGGGGCGGGGTTAAAGGGTTGTACGGTGGGAATATGGGACAGCTGTCCAATCAGGACCTCGTCGGGTAAATCAGTGAATAGGCGCTGTAGTAATAGGTTGGAGGATTAGCCAATGAGAGCGGAGGAAGAGAGCGTCTAAAGGCTGTCCTCACGTGACCTTAGAGGAACCTTGTGACTGGTCTTTTCAGGGGGCAGAAGTTGTTGGAGCAGTTGGAACAAGCGGGTGTTTAGGGGAGTGGGATTAGGCTGAGCGGGAATTGCGGTTGCAACCCTGTGTGTGTGTCACTGCATACAGTGGGACTTGTTTCCAAGTATGCATGGATAGGATAGACCTTTCACCCTGCTGTATTCTTTCTCTCTCTTTGCCCATACACACATTTGGAAGTGTGTATAATGTGCATGTTATGTACAGGCAGTATTGGGTTTCTGAAGAGTGCAGAATTCTGTTACTGTAGAAACAGTAGACTGCATCACCTGCACAAGTAAGATATTGAAAAAAAACATCGGCAGTTTAAACTTCCAGATTGCAGGACAGTTTATTTCACAAAATATCTATTTTCTCTTAGCTTCACCTAACAATATTTAAACTTCCAGACAGTTTATTTCACAAAACATCTATTTTCTCTTAGCTTCACCTAACAATGTTATCTCCCATTAAGTCACTTCTGACTTGTGGCAATCCACAAGGTTTACCCCTTCCATACATCCCAGTGAGTTAATAGGGCTCTTTAAATACATGAGATCTTTGATCATCGGTTTACCCCTTCCATACATCCCAGTGAGTTGCATTGACCAAGCAAGGGTTTTTGCTATCAATACAATATCATGTTTTGCTCAGTAACAAGAGTGACAAATACTTGCACTTTCAAGCATTTTTACACCTACTTAAGGGATGGGGATTCTGCATCTTTGTTTTTGTTCTGGGATTTGCTGCATAGAGTGCAGGTTAGCACTATGGAGCTTTGTGTATTTCTTGTATAGTTCATTTCTGTGTTAGAAGAGCCTTCTCCCAATTGGAAGTGATTAATTAGAATATCATTCCTTTTTTTAAAAAAATTCAGAAAACAAGCTATAGAAGGGGTGCAGATTTCAAACAAGTATTTGAAAAATGCCTCGAAGAGAAGTATTTTTTGGAGATACGGATTGTTAAGCAGAATGTGAACATGATTCCCAGGAAGTTGCAGGATGAACTGTGGCCTGTCTTGATAATCAGTCAAATCACAAAGAGTTCCTTGGCTCAGTCGGGGGTGGGGTGGGGCAGAAACACAAAAGACTGAGTGCTCTACTAAAATTTATCCAGAACTTAACAGACCTATAGAGAAACAGGCAAATTTACAGAAATTACAGAGAAGTTACAGAAAGGAAAAAGGAGTTAAGAAGAAGAAGAAAAAAGGTGCCTGAACATGTGCTTACAGATCCTTATACCACATCACATCATGAATTTCCCCAACCAACATAACAGAAATTGCCTTCCCGATCAAGGGAAGAACCACAAGTTGCGGATGGGAATCAAGACAGTTGTGTCTGGGTGTGAAAATCAGAAAGGAGTGTGGCTTGTCTATCAACCTTGCAGGTCAGTCTGCCTGCTTAGGTTGTCCCTGGCTGATTATAGCTGACAGAAGTTCCATTTCCCTTATCTTAAGAGAAAGGAGATAGCAACTCTTGAAGGTCTTGTGGTCAGCCTGTTCTAGCAAAACCCCCACCTAACTACAGCCTGTCCCAGCAACAGGCGTACTGATATCAAATTGCTAAAGCAGCCAGACTGGCAGTGGTTTGGAATAGAAATTACAGGAAGAGCAAAGCCTTATAGAATGGCCATAGAAGTGGGTCAAGTGTATGAAACTAAAATCTATTTGAACAGGCAGTACTTTGGGCAGTCTTTAAGAGCCTTCAGCTGGGTGTCATTGAGAATGCCTTATCTAAGGCTTCATGATGAGGGACAGGTGAGCAGTAAGCTGAACCATCCTGATTCATAGAAGAACCTTATATTCACTAGGCCACATCAGCTCTCCGTCTTTTAAATGAGGATGATAAACAACATTAAATCTCCTGAATTAATTTTTGTATACTTTGTCTTGCTTGAATTGAAGATTATTAAGTTATAGAATTCTGTCTGTATAAACAAGAACAAATTAACATTTTCAATTTTTACTGATTCTAAATAGAGCTCTTTAAGTAGGAGTGATCTGTAAGAATATGGTAATAGGATTGTAACAAGTATATTAGTACTGTACTGGTTATTCTGCATTTGATGGCTGAAAGGTTTGCTAGTTTAAGAACTCTGGAATAAATTCCAAGCACAACTCGTTCTTGGTAGGTTTTGGAATTAACCTCAGTTTCCAGCACAAATAGTTAATAAAACAGACCTGTTTCTTTGTGGTCCAGCAGTGCTTTATGCTTGGTTTTAACCCCTTGCAGATTGTCCCACGGATCATTCATCAAGAAAGAAGACAAAACAGGATGAAACTTTCAACAATGGGTCCCTCCTGGAACTCCAGGTCTGTCACAAGAAAGAGGAAAAATGGGGATAAGGACAGAAACTGCCAGTGAAATTGTTCACTTAAGAAGGCATTTCAAAGTTTAAAAGGAGATGGAGAAAGAAGAGAAAAACAAGATATGTTACCTTTGAGGTGAGAATGCGTTGCTGTGGTTAAATTCTTGTGAGAAAAGAAGAACAAAGTGGAAAATTATGTAGGCTTTGGAAATAAGTGTGGTCTATAAAACCTGGGGGAAACTTTAATACTGTATACAGATGATTGTGGATGTGGTTCTGTATGCTTTCACCTGAAACATAACCTTCACTGAATATAACTGGGACATGCTTCAAAGCACACATTCAGAGGATTGTAAGGAATGCTAAATATAGTTTCAAAATCTCAGGGCAGAGGCAGGAAAAAGCAGGAAGATTATGGTAAAGCTTGCTTAAGAAAAATATCGAGGTAGATGTGCAGTAAGCTTTGCTCAAGAAGAAAAAAAGGAGAAAAAAGGGACAATAAATCTGAATACTTACATGGGGGAAGGGGAGATGAAGAAGTCAAAGGGTGAGATACAAGGGCTGGGGAGGCAGCTACACAGGAAACAAAGAACATTAAAATTATGCTAATTATGGAGAGCAACAAAAGAGGCCCACACACCTGAAAGAATTCGTAAAGGAAAATTAAAGGAAGACACAGGAACAAGCATAAGCAAGAATAAATTAACCTGTTCCGAGTAAGTGTGGTGCCAAATCCTTCCACGTTAAATATGCTGAATTAACAATAGAACAAAGTTATGCCTGCAGGGCTTAAAAAGAGACTCTTCTATGGCCTTGTCATTTATGAGCCTTCTCATCCTGATCTGAATAATTGTCTTTGAATCCATGGCTTAAACAAGGGAAGAATCCTGTAGGAACACTGTAGCTAGATTTCATAAATTGAAATATGATTTTACCATTCTCTTCCTCATAGATTTTTGCTGCGCTTGCAAATTGGTTCAGCCGTTAACTCCCAGTGGAATTAACGTTTTAAGGGGTTGGTGTTTTTTTGGATGACAAAAAGTGAAAGCGATCCAACCGATGATCTGCCTGGTGTTGGGAGGGAGAGTAAACACAAGAAAAGTGTGAAACTGTTTCGCTGTCGTACCTTTTTCTTAGGATTGTATTTTCATGATAAAAGCTACCTTGGGTCCTTTTTTTTTAAGGAGAAAGGCGGGGTGGAGGGGTGGAAAAAAAATAAGATCGCCTCAAGGTGATGATGTGTAAACCTTTTCGGGGTCCACATTGCAAATGAGAATTGGGGTTTAGAGATGTAACGTTTCCAGAAATTTCGAAGCCATCTAAAAAACGTGTCTCTCGCTCTCTCCCCTATTTTTCCGTGTGTTTTTTTCCCTTCTTCTCCAGACCTTCTCATCTCTAGGCAAGAGGCAGTTGGAGCTAAAGATGTGAAAATTTCCGTTAATGTTGAAGCCATATTAAAACGGCTTGGGGGAAAAAAAACCCTAGTCTGCCCCCCCCGCCAAAAAAACACCGTTTTATAAGGCTTCCAATTTTTATATCTCTGGCGGCAGCCGAGGCGTTTCCTCCAAAACCCAGGATAAATCGAGTGAATAAGCGAGAACGAGAAGTACGTAATAAGAAGGAGGCCCATCTATTGGATTTATTTAGCATTTTATTTCTACAGTATTTGTGTTTCGACGGACTGAGGGAAGCACTCCGCCCCTCCCCCACCCCGCCATAAGGCTTCCAATTTTTATATCTCTGGCGGCAGCCGAGGCGTTTCCTCCAAAACCCAGGATAAATCGAGTGAATAAGCGAGAACGAGAAGTACGTAATAAGAAGGAGGCCCATCTATTGGATTTATTTAGCATTTTATTTCTACAGTATTTGTGTTTCGACGGACTGAGGGAAGCACTCCGCCCCTCCCCCACCCCGCCCCGCCCG